ATCAGGGGGGAGGGGGGTCGTAACCAGCGATCGTGTGTCACACCCCTTGCTTGACCCTGTTCATAACTTTCTTCAGATTGCATAATTATGAATCCGAAGAAAGCATGTTGTCAGCTTGTCAAGATGAATCTTTGATATGCTACAATATTCTAGGGTGGGGGGGGGGGGGAGGGTGGGGTCCAATTTTGCTGTTCAGAAGCCAGATTGATCCGTTTGACGCGCAATTTCTGAGAGATCCACTCAGCGGATCGCTCGTGCTTTTGCAGAGTGGGCTCTCATGTTGTAGCATGCGCTGTGCAAAATGCAAGCTCAGGAGATTGGTTGGAACTTGCACTACGAATTTCGTGACAGACAGACATACAGACAGACACACAGACAAACAGACGTAAACAACTCTTAGCCCGTTATTAGTGAACCAGTGCGTCACCTCTGCTTCGCAGAGGCTCACACTCATTCTACTCTATATGCCTTACTTATACTCGCCTAATAATGGCTTTGAAACTCACCGCGCAATGCTGACTATTGCGAATAAAATGTAAACAACTATTTATTCCAAGAGCTTTTTTATGTAAGATCGGTGATTTCGCGTGGATGTAACTTTTCGCAGATGAACAAATGCAAGTTTGAATAGGTTTTGAAATTTTTTTGGTTTGGTAGTTGCCATGAGGACAATAGTTGCCGTGAGCTACATCTCTGTGCAAATTTCTCAAATGCTCAGGTATATCCACGGCGGATTGACCATTTACGCGGACACTTCTTTTTGGTGTCGTTTTCGTAAAGTAGCAAACCTTTGGTCAATTTCTGATCTAAAGTCCATGACTTACTCAACCTGCTAAACACGTCCACGGCTTTGCAAAAAGCCTTGATACGGACCCAATTTTGCGGGCCAGAAGCCAAGTGGATCCGTTTGACGCGCAAATTCTGAGGGACTCACCCAGCGAATCCGTTCGTGCTTTCGAATGATGGAATTCTACGTTGTTAGCATGCGCTACGCAAAATTTGAGCTCTGGATGTTGGCTGGAACTGTATGAATTTCGTTGCAGACAGACAGACAGACAGACACACGCACACAAAGTCACGTAAACACCCTTAGCCCGTTATTATAAGTTACCAGTGCGTCACCTTTGCTCGGCAGAGGCTCGCACTGGGTCTTCTATCTATATGCCATACTCATTCCCGCATAACATGGCATTAAAACATACCGCGCATGCCCGCCTTCACAAATGATTCGTAGCAACTACTCATTCCTCAAGCTTTTTCGTGTAAGATCGGTATCTTGCGTGGTTGAAACTTTGGAGAATAAAGAACAAATGCAGATTTGGAACACTCCTAAGTTTTTTCATCTCTTGGTAGTCGCCATAAGGATAATGTCCACGGCGGGCTACATCCCTGTGCAAAAGTCTTTTCAAAAGCCCAGGTAAAAACCTGGCAAATTGACCATTTACGCAAATATTTCGTTTTGACGCATTTTTCGTGGAGCACTAGACTTCCATCACTTTTTTTGGGCTAAAGATCATGGCTTGCACATTACTTGCCAAACATAATCACGACTTTGCTGTAAGTGGTAATACGGACCCAATATCGCGCGCCAGACGTTAAGTGGATCCGTCTGGGGCGCGATTTTTGAGGGATCTACTCAATGGATTCAGTCGTGCTTTGGCATAATGATTCTAGATGGTGGCAGTGCGTGTTGTGCAAAAAACTTCGGCTCAAAACCTTGTCTGCGACTCGTTCTGTGAATTTCGTTACAGACAGACAGGCAAACACACACAAAAACACGTAAACACCCTTAGCACGTTATTATAAGTCATTATCACCAGTGCTTCACCTCTGCTTCGCAGAGGCTCGCACTGACTCTACGTCAAGACCCTACTCATTCTCGCATGATTGGAACTCACCAAGGAATGCTGACGAGGGAAGCTACCTAACTTAGCTCGCGCTTTTGGAGTAAGACACATATATTTGGAATCAGCTTCGAACGCTGATGCCAAATATGCTGTTCCCAGCTGCCGCGCGTCATTCGCAACGGAGTTATGAGGCCTCCTCTCCTATGACTCGCCCTACCGGCAAGTCTAGTGGAAACACGACAATGACTGTCGGAGGTCGTGTGGTGAAATGGTAAGTGTCTTGCTCCATAAGCCGATGGTCCGGGGTTCGACTCTAATTACGTATTTTTTGTTTTGCAAAGGTAGCCCAGAAACCTAAACATGGTTTACAAGTGTTTATGTCTACGTGCATCTGGTGAGTGGGGTTATCATAAATCGAAGATGTTCTGCCCCGAGCCCGCTCAAGAGTCATCTGCAATCGAAAACGGGGCAGCATTTAAGATATCCAAAATGTAAAGTTTCTGTGGTGAAACTAGTACGCCGCAGTCTGAATACACTCTGCTGAGGACTTGCAAAACGAAGAACACGCAATAGGAATCGAAGCCCGGACCATCAGCTTATGGAGCGAGACACTTACCATTTCACCACACGATCTCTGGTATCATTTTCATGTTTCCCCTAGACTTGCCGGTGGAGCGAGTCATAGGAGAGGAGGCCTCATAACTCCGTTGCGAATGACGCGCGGCAGCTGGGAACAGCATATTTGGCATCAGCGTTCGAAGCTGATTTGAAATATATGTGTCTTATTCCAAAAGCGCGAGCTAAGTTAGGTAGCTTCCCTCTTGAGTATCACGAATGAAATGTTAACTGCTACTCATTCCGAATGCTTTTTCATGTGAAATCGGTATTTCGCATAGATGAAACTTTTTGCAGGAGAAAACGCAAATTTTTATAGGTTTTTGTCCCATGGTCTTAACAGTTGCCATAAGAACAGTAGTCACCGTGAGCTACATTTTTGTGCAAAAACCTCGTCAAATGCTTTCCATTCACGCAACCAATGCTTTTTGGTTCCGTTATAAAGTAACGGACTCCGATCACTTTTTTGGTCCTAAGTTCATGGCTTGCACATTTACTTGCCATAAAGCATCCACCACTCTGCAAAAAGTGGAATTACGGACCTCAATTTTGTGGACCAACTGCAAAGTGGATCCGTTTGACGCGTTATTTCTAATAGACCCACTCAATAAATCTGCTTGTGCTTTTGCATGCCGGACTGTTATGCCAGTAGCAAAGGCTATGCAAAATTTGAACTCAGGATGTTGCCTGGAACTTGCTCTGCTCTCTTCATTCAGACAGACACACACAAAAACTCGTAAACACTCTTTGCGCGTTATTATAGTAGGATTGCAATCAATCTTTTGGATGAAGCTTACTCCGCCTCATTGCTCCCGAACTTACATGGATAAAGTTTGGAATGAGTGACCGTTTACAACTCATTCGTGATGAACGGCATTGGCTAGAAGGTTTCAAAGCCATCATTGCGAGCATGATGAAGGCATGCGGAAAGTAAAACCAGTGTGAGCCTCTGCGGAGCAGAGGTGTCATGGCTCCGCGATGCGAGCGCTCCTAGAAGTAAGAGGCCGGGAGCACTGCTTGCTGCCGTGCTATCCGGCGACGATTACGGTACTTTCTCACGCTTGCCGCAATCGCCGCTAGACCTCTTTTCGCCTTGGCGCGTTGCCAGCCAAAAGGCTATATATAGCGGCGTCGCCTCATTTCAACGCCTGTCTGCTTTCTGTTCGCTTTCGTTTTCGATCAATAATCTCTTCTTATCATAACTTATAATAACGGGCTAAGGGTTATTTACGTTTTTTTTGTGTGTGTGTGTCTGTCTGTCCGTTACGAAATTCGTAGGGAGAGTTCCAGGCAACCTCTTGAATCCAAATTTTGCATAGCACGTCCTAGCAGCAGAAAAATCCATTGTGCAAAAGTACAAGCGGGTTCGATAAGTGGATTCCTTAGAAATTGCGCATGAAACGGGTTCACTTAACTTCTGACCAGCAAAATTGGGTTCGTATATAATTTTCGCAAAGTCGTGGATATGTTTGACAAGCTAATGTACAAGCCATGGACTTGAGCCCAAAAGTTAAACTAAAGTTGGTCACTTTGAGAAGGTGGCGCCAAAAAGAGTTAGTTGCGTAAATGTTTAATTTCCCAAGATTTTACGTGATCATTTGAGAAGATTTTTGCACAGATATGTAGTCCACGACGATTATTGCCGTTATGGCGACTACCAAACCATAAAAAGTCTACAAACCTATTCAAATTTGCATTTATTCTGTTGAGAAAAGTTTCATCCACGTGAAAATACCTTTCTCACACAAAAAAGCTTTAGGAATGAGTAGCTGTTCACAAATTATTCGTGATAGCCTGCAGAGCTCGGTGAGTTTCAAATGCTACTATTTATGCGGGAATGAGTAAGGCATACACAAAGTAGGGCCAGTGCGAGCCTCTGCGAAGCAGAGGTGATGCACTGGTGTTTTATATTGTACTCGTGCCCTGCAGTTAGCTCCCGCCTTTGATGTCTCTTTTGCGTTAGCAGTCGAGCGAATCGAAAGTTATATTGAATTGGAAATCAAGTTTGATTTGGGATTTTCGGGCTGCTTTTGGAACCTTTGGGATTTGAGATCTTCTGAAGTTTGGGAGCGGAGAGGTGCGCCTAGTATCCGGCGACGCATGGCGGATTTGTGTAGGTGAAGCCTCGGGAGCGTTATCATATTTAGATGTTTGTAGACGCGCACCATCGGTAGCAAGGGACGGGGCACCCTGTCCCGTGTTGGGATTATTCTTCTTTTAGTTATAGTTTAGTATTCTAGCTTAGTGTTTTGTTTCCTTTTGCGTGTCATAAGGATGAAATAAAAGTAATTTATCTTCTGTTTCTTACGCGCTAAGGCAATTTAGTAGGCTAGGTTGCGTCGTATGTAATAAGCGGGCGAGCGCATAGGTAACTCGGGAAGTCTAGGTGCTTAGGATCCACCGAGCCGCCACAAGAGCTGACTCACTGGTTTCAATGATGTGCCAATCAACTTTGCTTGTTAGTGTTGAATCTTCTATTCAGTTTTACTTGCGTACTACAAACAAAGAGGAGCAATCTATAAAACATATTTGACTCACAGCACAGCAATTCCACTGTAATCGTCTTCACTGCGCTTAGTATCATCCGTATGATGGATGTACATATGCCCTCGGCGTAGAAAGAATTGACAAATGAGCTAAACTTTAGTTGCAGTTACTGACACGAGAAACTCTAACCATACCGGTCTCTCAGCAGGCCAATCGACAATCACTGGCGACACAGGAATCACAGCAAAAAAGACAGCTACCGAGCTTAGGAGTTTCATTGATAAATATGGGTGTTACTTCGAATGAAGTTTTTGGTAAAGTTTGATAAGCGGCTTTTACATGTTAGACAAGCTGTTGTGTGTTCAATCTGACATCGTTCTATGGAGTAGGAAAACGTAACGCCGACAGCAGCTGCCTGCGGACTGCCACTCGGATAGCGGATAAGTCCCGCAGGAGATCCGCCCACAAGTGAGAAATCGCGAGAAAATCGGTGGTTTGCGTGACACCCATTTTTTGCAACATTCGGGATTATCCCTTCGTCAGAGATAAAGGAGAAGATTGCGACACGTTACTCAAATACAATTCACCCTCAAGTTCTTCAGCTGACATGCACAGTTTGCCCGATCGGAAGCAGGTCGAACCGTTGGCGTAAGTTTGCGAGCTCGCAACGCAGCTCGCTCTTCGCTTTCTCCGCTGCACTTGCGCACGAAGAAAGCGAAGAGGTTGAAGAAAGCAGACAAGCAGGCCATAGACGTGGTGCCAAATTTTAGCAATGCAGGCTCCCTTCATGCCAATTTGACCTGTGGCCGTATTCATCATTGATACCTTGAGGTAAATTCTACCTCAAGGTAGTTTTATCACTCATTATCAGCAAAATTACATTGAGAATTTACCTCAAGGTACTTTGTGAATAAGGGTATTTGCTGATAATCCTTCTATATATATAAAACCGAATGGTGTACTTGTCTGTACGTTGGTGGATAAGCATGTTGATGCTGTCTGTACGTCTTCGATGGTGTTTTTCTGGTTTGCGACAGTGTTTTCGTGTCTGTTGTTTTCCAGTCTGGAAGTCATGTGGGATGGTTAGCTGCCCTTTGCTTCGATTTCCCATTCTCATTGCGTATTTCGACGCGCTAAAATGGTCGCTTTCCTTTTTTTTGATTTTTTGTTTCGTTCCTGCGTTCTTCGACACGCTTCTGAGGCGGTCGATAATGGTTGTTCTTCTTTGATTCGTTCTATTGTTATTTTTGCCATAGTTAAAAGCGCTTCGTTTTGGTGTTGAATCATGTCGGCGTTACATGTTTCATCATCTTTTTATGCGGCTGAAGAACTTGTTCTGTTCCATCTTAGCTATGCTTTTTCGTATTGTTGTTCTTCATGAGAATAAATGTTTTGCAATTTCGCATAATTGCTTCAATTTGGTGTACTTGCTGATCAATTACGCACACATGAAGCGTTTTGGAGGAATTACCATTTGAATATCCGTTTTATCTTTTCTCGATCACTCTCTCCTCATTTCTTTTCGTGTCATAGTTCTTGATTTCAAAATCAAAAATCTTTTTGCCTTCCTTGTTTCTAAGCAGTCACGCAGACTTGAGATATTATTGAGTTGTCACATGTGATTTTTGATTTGATTCTTTGATTCATTTAATTCTCAAATCACAGGTTGAGTCGTCCCCCACATGTGATTTCGTCTCGTAGGTCGTCATTTCAAAAATGGAAGTTTTCTTGATACTTCCCATAAATTCATCTAAAAATGCTCTGAACTTTGCCCCTTTTTGAAGATTTGCCCTGCTTATTTAAACAACTAGGCAGACACGAAGTTCTCCTCACAATTATGTACAATATAAATGATTGTACTTTTCACCAAAAAAGTTTTTGGTTTTGGATTTGCGACTTTGCTCTCTTTGTCTTCAAACAAACAAGTTTAGGTTAAGTTCTTTCGAGCAAGCATAATTGAATATCCTTTTTTTCACACTCAGTTTGGTTCGCAGCCTGTTTCCAGGATTTTTTGTATAGGGGCCTGCAGGATCGCGAGAGTCGGTGAGGTTGCGGCCATTGCTCGCGCATTGAGCTTTCTCGGTCTTTTTTTCGCCTTTTAGACGTTTTTCTGCTATCAAATGTAAGCTTCTGATTATTTAAGGCGATTCCGAGAAATACAGGATTGTTTGAGTGGTTTGAGGCCTTGTAGCATCCTGCGTGCGCAATGGCCGCAAGCTCACCGACTCTCGCGATCCTGAGCCCTATAGTTTGGTAACTTCATAGTAGTTGTTGCCTGAAACTTATGTTATAGAGATGGTTGTCAATGTGTCGTTTAAAACTTGATGTTTAGTATCATGGCAAACATTTCAACTGAAGATTTACTAAAAAGTGCACTTCCTGTAGAAGTGCCGCTGCACCTGTAACTGTAGCCGTGGAGTACTCTGCGGGCATTGATGAGAAGTTTTCTTATGGGGACTATCATTTTAGCACAGTTAGTTTTTTTTTATATTCAAAGCACAGTGTTTAATTCATTAATTTAGGTTGACAATTGGAATTGTTAAAACCGTAATCATCAGAGAGAATTTGACCATCCACGTTTTGATGGACCCGAAAGACATGGATAAAGAATTTGACGTTTTTACCCACACTGTTGTAAGTTTTTCTTCATAGATATCTCATGGTTTTTAAAGGCAGCGTTTAGGCAGATCTGGACCTATGGGAATTTTACGTGGAAAGTAATTTTGGGGCCCTAACTAAGCCACTGCCCAACAGGCAGCTCAGGTAGTGCTCTAACGGCTGAGAGATGCGCCTCGAAACTGTACTCCGGGATCGTATCTCACATGGATTCATGGCGCAAAAGGCTGCGTTCATATCGATCCCAAAATTTGGGAACAGTTCCAGCACAGCGCTTAATTCGAGCGCTGTGCTGGAACTGTTCCGAGACTTTGGGATCAGTATGAACGCAGCCTCAGACAGGCATCACTGCCGCCATAAGTCGCCTACCTCTCATTCGTTTTGCTCTGTGATCGTAGAATCTAGCAGTTAGAATATGTTATGTAAAAAGATAGCTCGAACAGCCACCGTGCTCTAACTCGATACCACGTTAGTTGTAAAAGTGCGCGCGTGACTTTTTACTTGAAGATAATTGAAAACAATCTTTGAATTACAAAAAAAGTCTTGTAGATTGAAAAAAAAATGTGAAAAAAGTCGGGCGTGGCAAGCCCGCTAAAATCTCTAATGGATTGTAAAGGGAAAGTGCTTACTAATTGTAGTTGAATGACAGAAATATGGATGATAATGCTTGCAAAACTCTTCTTGAATAATATGATTTGTGAGTTTTTACAGCAAGGATCCTGCTGAAATTCTATGGGGATCTGATGGAGCCCAAATCATTGTTGAATCTACAGGTGTGTTCACTACCATCGAGAGAGCATCTGCTCACTTGAAAGGAGGGGCTAAAAAGGTACAACGTTTGCCATCGATGAAAATACTAATCTTTTGAATAATGAGCAGTGTTTTAGGTAGTCATCTCAGCACCATCTGCAGATGCATCGATGTTTGTAATGGGTGTGAACCACGAAAAGTACGATGCTGCTAAAAAGCACATTATCAGGTGCGCTTTTATCGCTTCAGTGTGCACATTTCCTTACTGGACTCATTTCTGTTTCAGTAATGCTTCTTGCACCACAAACTGTCTTGCTCCACTTGTTAAGGTTATCAATGACAGCTTCACAATCATCGAAGGACTTATGACTACCGTCCACGCCGCAACGGCGACGCAGAAAACAGTTGATGGCCCATCAGGAAAGCACTATGGTGATGGACGTGGTGCAGGCCAGAACATCATCCCTGCTTCGGCTGGTGCTGCCAAGGCTGTCGGCAAGGTCATCCCAGCTCTAAATGGAAAACTCACTGGAATGGCCTTCCGTGTGCCAACCCCTGATGTCTCGGTAGTCGATCTCACTTGCCGTCTGCAGAAAGCGGCTTCCATGGATGACATCAAAAAGGTTTGTTGAGTGACGTCAATCAAAGTGCTGAGTTCCTGCCCTAGGTCGTCAAGGCAGCCTCTGAGGGTCCAATGAAGGGTATTTTGGGATACACAGAGGATCAGGTCGTGTCGACTGATTTCGTCGGTGACCACAATTCTTCGATCTTCGATGCTGGAGGGTTGGGCCAGACTGCGCGGCGTACGCGGCGTACGCAGCGTACGCCGCGTACTCTCCTATGATAAATTATACCGAGCGTACGCTGCGTACGTCACGTACGCCCGTACGCCGCGCACTCTGGCTCAACCCGGAGCTTGCATTTCTCTCAACCCCAATTTTGTCAAGCTTATCTCATGGTAAGTCTTTGCAGTATATCTTATGGTATTAAGTGGTCTTCTAATTAGGTATGACAACGACTTTGGTTATTCATGCCGCGTTGTGGACCTCATTGCATTTATTGCCTCGAAGGGCTAAAGAAGCGATACCCCTGGCCCTCTTCGCTCTCAATAAAACTTGTGGTTTTCTAGTGTTTCGCTGTGTTTGTTGCCACTCTCTCGAGCGTACACTGCTTTATATAGGTGTGTAGGGTCTCCTTCTTAATGTATTTGTGTAGAGATTTATGTAACAAATTTGTATCATACTTTGGGTTAACCTACCTGAGGAGAATACCGTCAGATCTACTCGACTATACCTAGGTAGGCTTTTCGAGATTGTGGCCTAGGACATTTGATTGAAGACATACAGGATTTAATCTGCTCTTTTAAGAGTGTTCTGTCTTACGTGTCTCCCACCAAGCAAATACCGTGTCATCAGGTCTAACACTTTCTACTCTTCGTGATTTCCTTCCCACCATCGGAGATTGCCGCAATGTTGTAACCGTGAGGGTACTGCAACGTCTCACCATGGCGGGGACTGTTTCTCTCGTCCATATTTTGAATTGAGGCCCCCGCAAAATGTTGTTTTTCACCATTTTCGCGCATTCCAAGGTAGATTTTTGGGAATAGCGCATTGGACAACCCCAGGTAAGCCAGCAATCTCCACGTTAGGGTTTGTCGAGCACTGCCTCGGGGCACACATGAAAAAGTTGCCTGCAGCACGGGAAAATTTCCTTGTAAAGTGCAGAGGATTATTGACTTTCATGTTCAAAGTTCTAACATGAAGAAGAAAGGGATACCCAAACAGTGGAGCACATGCCGCACAATTCTGCTACAAAAAAAGGCGAGAGAGAAGAGCTTCAGAACTACCGATCAGCTCCCTACGTGTGCTTTAGGCTGTCTACAAGGATAATCACGCGTATTTTGAGGACGTTGAAAAAGGCACAGCTGGAGCAGGCCGTTTCCCCAGGGATCGGTCATATGTTGCCGACTGTTGCCGAGAGCGCATAATACAGAGTGATACCAAATCCGGCACCTGGCAACAGTTGCTGGCAACTATGACGGAAAACATTCGGCTGCATCGACTAAATTAACACTGTAAAGGCAGCGGCTCGGAAAAATAACAACTTCGGGATATTTATCGTTTTCGGTTCCCATGGATGAGCTAAGTCTGAAACTGTGTTTTGCAGCTTCAAAATATATCAATAGCCCGCTTTTCCGAACTGAAAGTGCTATTTGGGCGTACCACGTATGCCTGCTCTCTAGAGCGCGATCGCTCGTGAGTGGAGACACGGTAATTACCGTACCCACGAGCCTTAGAGGGCAGGCATACGCCGTCCGCTCAATTATCACTTTTCACTTTTGGAAAAGCGCGTTATGATATCTTTTGAAGCTGCAAAGCATAGTCTTGGGCTTAATTCATCCAGGGGAACCAAGAACGAAATTTCCCAAATTTGTCATTCTGCCGAGCCGCTCCTTCAAAGGCAGTGTCCGGGCAGATTTGGGAGCAGCACCTCACCGTCATCATAGTATCAAAGCGAGGTCCCTATGCAGGCCATAGCCCGGCCGCGATCGCAAAGTATTGCTTTGAAACGAGTAAACACCTTCGGAAGTCTGAACAGAGACACCCCTCGATTCTTTTGTCCTTACCAACGGGGATCGTGCTGCAACACGGCAATTGCGAGTTTGTTATTGGTTGCAGCGAGGCGTCCCGCATGACTATGTGCTTCGGTAAGGACGAGATTGAATCGACAGGCGTCTCTGCTGTTTACTTGCTTCAGGAGCAATATTTTGCGGTCGCGACCGGGCTTGCCAGGGGCGATACTTACCAATCTCCGGCGGCGTGGCGTTATGGAGCAAAGCTACGCCGCATTCGCCTGCGGTATATCCTGAGGGCCTTTTGCGTTGCGTCGCTCCTAATTGCAGCCGCAGATGAGCTAGCGTTACCCAGCGGATTGAACCGTTCTCTATATTCTTCATAGAAAAGGATCAAAATTCGAATGATAAACGGATTTTGAAGATAAATTAGAAATATAATTTGAGGAAGAATTGTTTGTAAAACGGAACCCAAGAGAAAGCAAAATAAAACGAAATCGATTTTTTTGGACAGTCGTTGACGGAAAATCTTCTTGTTTTCTTATCTAATCTCATATTCCACCTCTCTTAAACACTTTAAATCCAGCTTTTGATTCATATCATATTCAGCCTTCAATTCATCCCTGAGATTCATCCTTTTCTTCAATTTTTTTCATTGCATTTGTGCAGTTTGAACATCTTGAAGCGTACCAATAGAAAATAGTTTAATTCGCTGGCAAGAGCACCGATACTCCTGTGGCTGCAATTTGAGGCGATGCAACGCAAGTGGCCTTCAGGATATACCGCAGGGGAATGCGGCGTAGCTTTGCTCCATAACGCCTGCCCCCCCCCCCCCAATCTCCTGTAGGGGCCTGCAGGATCGCGAGAGTCAGATCGTGCGTACGGCCATTGCGCCGCGCACGTCCGATGTCACTAAGGCAGGTGCCAGACTTATCCTGTTGAACAGCTTCATTCGGTTCACCACCTTTGCTCTTGGACAGTGTTAGAATGATTCAAGAGTAATCAATTCGTCCCAAAACCTCTGATAAGTTTGCACAGAAAACTGCATCGAATCCGTTTTTAGAAAGTTTGTTCAGTCCTTTGAGTTGAGCACGACCTCTATTAATACTTCCAACATATAATTACCGTTTTCCTGTTCCAACAAGTGCCGCCGAAATCGTTATTGGAAGATTTGTTTTGTTTTGTTTTGTTACATTTCAAGCTTCTCTATTTCTACACTGGAGCGTTTAATTTGGAGTGCACCATAAGTTTTAAAAATGTCAGATATTTCAGCAAAATAGTGCGGCCGCCCTTATTCATTTCTCGAGTGCGTAATATGTTTCCTCTCCCCAAAACAGCTGTGCCAAATCTTTTCCAATGGATTATACTGCCTTTTTTCTGCTAAAATTTTATCATGCCTTTTTCCTGCCAGAATATCTAGCAAGAAGGTTGAAGTTTTCCAAATTCTTTCATGAAATGCTCAGCAAATGCTTTTATCTCAGATAAACTGCACTAAATCTATTTTTGAAAATTTCTCGCAAATACTTTCACTTTCCGGACAGTCTGTAACTATGATTTTTTTGGAATGAGCACTTCGTTTGAGATGCTTATGTCATTCAAAATAATTGTCAGGTATTACAGCAGAACAGTGGCAGTCTTACGAATTTCAAGTGATTTATTTTTCACAAACTTCCATACTGACCCACTCAAAAGCAACTTCATTCTGTGTTTTTAGCAGTAATTTGAGCACAGCTTTGATCGTGCAACTTTGTTGAACAGCGCGTCACTGAATTCTCTAAGAAAAAACATTGTTGACTCTGTGGAAGAGATCAGTGATTGATACAAATTCTCAAATCAGATGCTTAGCATCTGTGAAATTGCAACATGCCATTCAAGAGGTATTTATTTACAAACATCATTCATTCTGCAAATGTCTACTACTCAAAACGTGTCAGAGAGTGCATTTTGGACTATCAAAGTTTTCACTGCGCGCCTCAAATAACTGAAAAAAAATTAGCGCTCTTCAAAAATCTTACATGCTTTTGTACTGACTTCGTGAGTATTTTTTCTACAATGGATGTATGAAAAATTTTCTGCTCAGAGTTTTCTGCTAATAAAAGCTCTAAACTGTCTATTCAGAAGTCATACGCTCTTCAAATGTGAATAACCTTAAATTTGTATAAGGAGCGGAGATTTTAGGTGAGCAGCTCAAAGCGAAACATCTTTGAGTAGGTCCCTTTAAGAATTTGAATCAGTTGCTTGCTAACAATAAGATAATTTGAAGATTGGTGGATTTTAAGTACCTATGGATGAATCGCAAGGATGCTGTACAGTCTGAAAAGCCCTTACGAAATGCGATCGAGAGATTTGTCATAAAATCTTGAAGTGAAAGAGGAATTGTGCAAAAAGGTTACTGTGTGAAAAGAAAGAGGGAGTGTTCAATTTTGATGAACTGTAGATTTGGTTTGGATGTTGGCTAAATATTTTCAAAGACGTCAATTCGAATTTTCTTGCTATTTCAATTTCGGAAAGAGTAAGAGTCTGAGCAAGAACTTTTGGGGGAGTGGAGTGTTCTAAGGCAGCTTGGGAAGTTACTCAGTGTGAAAACAGGATCCGGGTGGGAAGAGCGCACGTGGCTGATAAAACTTTTTCGGGTATGGGCAGTCACTTGCTTCGGGTAAAGAGGAGCTGAGGGCGGGGGGGGGGGGGAATCTCTAGGAAATGTAGCGTGTGAACGGAACACAATAGTGGGATTAAACCTCGTTGGGTAAAAATCTCTAACATGTTTTTCATCATGTGTAACACCGAAATTAACGCCATGTTTGAATTAAGCAAGGCGAAAGTATGAACGGAACCGAAGTTCCCAAACGTGTGAAAATTACTCACGAGACCACTCGTGCAGCCATTCAAGTAAACTGAGATGGCGGCAGTTTTCATTGTTCTAAAAAGAGAGGAAACGTAACGTTCTATATGCGTACTCGCAACACTGAATACGAGACGGTGCTCTGGAAGTCGTCGAGGTTTGGTGGTGTTCATTTTGAAATTCATATTTATTGGAATCTTTTTTCGGTTTTCAGAATAGCTTACTAAGGTCGTTTCGAAAATACATTTGAAATTTTGAAATAACAGTAGTATCTATCAACTAGGAGCCAAAAAAACTGCATGATCAGGTAATTTCGCATTGATACGACTTTTCAAAAAAGTAATTTTGCAGCATCTACTTTGGTTTTGAAAACAGCTTTTCTAATATTTGATCCTACATAAAGCGCAAAGTCAGCGATGTTTGAATTATCGTCTATCATACTGAATTTTCACCGCTGATTTTATCAAGATCGCAGAACTGAATCATGCAACCGGTTCAACGTACTAGAAGGTCTATGTTTCATCGTTTCTAATAGTACAAAAAAATTACAGGTAACTTTTTTAACTACTGTGCATGACTAAAATCATTCTATTAATTTGAAAACGGAATTCCAAATGGAAGGTTTTCATAGCCAGAAACAAAAAGAGTTCGTGGCGTTCTATGTGTGCTCTGCTTTCCGAACTGCTCTACTATATCACTCAGCGCATTGCATGGTAATCTGCTTTATCTTTGATCAAGAATACTCCTGTGATTTATGCGGCTTGTTTGTTTTCTTTTAATTAATCGATGTATCTGCCCTTATTATTTATCTGCCCCCACCCACTTACTAGCGACCCGTAGGGTCGCTAGTCTTATATATAAAGCTGAATGTCTGTATGTCTGTATGTATGTCTGTATGTATGTCTGTATGTATGTATGTATGTATGTATGTATGTATGTATGTTCCGAATAGAAAATTCCATTTCTGAACCGATCCGGACCAAACTTGGCACACATACGCTACGGGCAACGGCGGGTGTCATAGGCTACTTTTCGTCATCGATCGATATCGATTTTATCGATTTTTATCGATTTTTATCGATTTTTTTGCTGAGTTCACCTACGGGGCTGGGAGTTGGCACAGGGGGGTAATCGAGCATGGGGATTCCGAATACAATATTGGTTTTCAGGATTATCGATTATTTTTATCGATTTTATTGATTTTTTTGCAAAGTTTGAGCTACGGGGCTGGGAATTGGCACAGGGGGGTAATCGAGCATGGGGATTCCGAATACAATATTGGTTTTCAGGATTATCGATTACTTTTATCGATTTTATCGATTTTTTTGCAAAGTTTGAGCTAGGGGGCTGGGAGTTGGCACAGGGGGGTAAGTGAGCATGGGGATTCCGAATACAATATTAGTTTTTGGAATCGTGCATTACTCTTATCGATTTTATCGATTTTTTTTGCAAAGTTTGAGCTACGGGGCTGGGATTTGGCACAGGGGGGTAATCGAGCATGCTGATCACCCCCGTGGGGGTGATCAGCATGCTCGATCGATAACGAAAAGTGGACTGTGACACCCGCCGGGGC